AGAGCGTTTTCGGTTTGCCCCTAAAAAATGATCTCTCGAGGAGCTCACAGGCTGCATAATACGGCAAAGGATATGAGAGTACAGCTTTTATAACCAAGCAAAGATTCACCAGGCCCTTAAAACCAGGCGAATGGAGATTATTCGTGATTATTTGCTGCGTGTCGTTCTGGAATGTTAGGAAACAGATCCAACCGAAGAGCGATTTGAACGCAGCAGCCGCGATGTGACTCCAGTTCAACATCCAATCAAACTTTGACCGATCGATCAAATTACCTTCCAATGTGGGTAAAAATATCTGTGAGGTATAACTAAATACAATCACACCGAGGGAGATCGGGAAGTTTTTTAGATCGATAGTCCATTTCATCTTCGACCAACCCCAGTCACCAATCTCCAAAAGACAGTAACCAACAGTGATGGCATTTATGAACAAGTGGGACATAGTGCACCAAAAACTGAGCACCGAGACATGCTGCAGGGATTTGAGAAAACTAAGGGGCAGTAAAAATATTCCGATGAGCATCATCCAACTCCTTGTATCGATCGCGCCTTCAGGGAATGTTCCCATCATTAGGTCACCACAGACGACTACGTATAAAATACACGTCATAAGTAACTCGATGATCTGAGCGATATTCACCACTCTGACACCCCACGTAGGTCCAAAGCATTCTTTAGCAATTGCTACGTATGAGTCTCGCACACGTACACGTTGGCCAGTTGTCGTATCCAATTCGTATAAACATTCAACCAGTATCTTGCCAGTGTAACAACAGATATGAGCTACACCGATCATCGCAACAATGGCCCAGTAACCACCTCGATATACGGCGAATGGTAACGATACGATAAACATACCCTGGAAATAAAATAAAGAAATCGATAATTATAAGTGATAATTTAAGTGGATACAAATATTTTTGACAGATTAAATGGTATCATTTATAAGTTAAATTTAAGGATATAATTCTTTATAAAAATTGTTGCAATATCCATGTCTACATACATGCACTTGAATATGTTTAATAATTTTTTAATTATTTTTTTCAAGTTCGTTCTTCTAGAATCACCCATTTAAACAATTTAAATATTCTAGAGAAAATTATAAGAATCCTTTTTCTTTCTCTAAAGAAGGCGAACAATTTATTAGGATTATAAAATGAAAGTACCTGTATAGCATTTGTGACATTCCATGCGGCTTGCCATTCATTAATTTTGACACCCGAACCACCAAATTCACCACCACCTTCATCGTATTCGCTAAATTCGCTGCTACTAGCACTTCCTGTTCTGATTTTGTCTCTGTAATATTACATTAATAAGTGATTAATAATATGAAATTAATATCGGGTTAATAAAATATGATATTTACAATTAATCTTTACTTAAATGATTCTTTTTTTTTTAATTACCATAATATAAATACTATTTTATTTATTTTTTTTTTTTAATTCAAACGTTTTATATGGAAAAATCTAAATTTCATTGTAACCACAATATCTAAATTTCGAGTATTTTAAAATGTTGAATTAAGTACGTCTTAATATAATCGAATACGTAATTGTACCCAATCAAATATTAAAATAAAACAAAAATTAGCACGATCTATATCGCGACTTGAAATAAATTTCCATAATATAGAATTTTTTTTACACGAATCTCTTTTTACTCCAATGACGGAAGATAATTGTACAATAACCTTAATTCTTTTTGTATCTATTGTTTCACATATATACACGTGTAAGTAAGTGTTCATTTACCCATTTCGTTGATAGCTGAAAGAATCCTCGGCGATGGTTACGTTATTCTGATCCGGATATGCTTGATCCCCGTTCATAGTTATCATTTCCGTATTGTCATGGCCCTCGTCAAACGATTTGAATTGAGCATGTCCACTTTGCCCTGGAGCCTGTTGACCTACACCATTGCCACGAATAAAATCATTACAAGGACTATTTTCTGGCCATTTAGCTTTCAGTGTTTCCCAAGCAACGTTGAATGTTGCTCCCAGGGATGGTATGTAGAATCCACGAAAATCAGGCATTGTCTAATTCGTTGCTTCTGGAATCGAGTAAGTTGATTTTGCAATCCTCGTTGAAAATTTTACATTCAGAATTATGCATATTTCTCGAGCACATTATTATAAAATTTATCATTTAAAAATTCTTATGAAAGATATACTCGATAACTGCTATCTTATATCTAAAAATATGTGAAGAAGATATAAATTATTCTTAAATATTTTTAGAAATTTATGGAGTTTTTTCGCTAAAAATGTGTGAAGAAAGTTCAAATTACTTCGAAAATTCGGATTAATATACTAATAAAATAGAAAATAGAAATTTCTTGAAGAAACTAAAATATTTTGTTTAAATATATATCGTCCTTCTTAACAGCTAATGTAATTAAGAGGACAATTATCGGTACAAATGCACTTATTGACTATCAACTGTTGCAGTATAGATAATAAGTGAATAACAATATCCAATACAAATCGGTAATCGTAGTCATTGTTAAATATACTTACAAAACCATTTATATTTCTCTTGTATTAAACAAAAAAAAGATGACATACCAATAGAGAAAAATATATTAAAAAAATACAATTCAATGACAACCAGTTGAATATTTTGGAATAAAATTTACAATATACACACCTACATCTTACAATAAATGATAAAATATGAAACAATAATAAGCGATAAATTTTACAAAGTTAGGCTATAGTGGCTCGAAAGTAAAGATATTTGCATTATTCGTTAATATATTCTCCAAAAATTTTCTTAAAGTATGTATACTCCTCTCTAAACATCCATAATGGTTTCAAAATCAACCCTTCCATCTTAATAAAAATGATCAATGTAACAGGAGCAACATATCTTATACAGGTCATTTTAGTTGGTCGAATGTATAGTCTAACGTAATACTATTCAGAGTGTAACTTGAAATAATTCTTCGTAAACATTTCTTCGTAATCAAATCTTGCGATTCAAACAACGCGATAGATCGGGTTTCATAAACGTCTTATCGATTTAATCGTATTCCGTGAACGATCGCTTCAAAACTTTCCAATGGTATACGTGTCTAGTGTATCCCTTATGGATGTTCGTCCCTGATACTCTCGAATATCGACCTAAGTCTCGATTTCTTGCTCCACTTACCGAATAACGAATAAAATTCGCCACGCAATTTTTCAGGAAACTTTAACGGCGTTCGAACAATGCGATGTCAGACGTAACTTCCTCCAGCGCGAAGATTCGTTCCGTTTTATTTTTCCAGTAATCTCTTTGCCAGGCAGAGCAAAAGGCTTGAACTAAAAAAAGGATCCAACAGCAGGTCCGAAGAACGGAAATATTTGAAAATAAAGGGTCGAAACCGTCTAACTACGTGGGCTACGACACCGCATGGTCGTCTACGGTCTACCGCGATTGTCGAGTCCCTAATCGCGACATAGACTACGGGGTTGGCGTGTCAGGGGTTGGGAGATCAGAAGAATATAGCCAGAATCTCTCGAACGCGCAAGCCTCGATCGATGTGGTCCATGAGACATCTCTCAGCACGTCAGTAGTGTAGTTAAAAGTCACGTCTCCCCACGTGAAGCGTGTTGGGAAGGATAGGGTTGTTAAAAGTGTAACTAAAATGTCTGATGGAATCTGCTGTGTATATGCCCGAAAGCTTGAATCAATTGTATATTTCACGAGGTATCTAACGTCTCTTCACTAACGTTAGAAGTTACCGACACGTGGAAAAATTAATTTCCTGATTGGTATTTAGGAAGAGCATTTGATAAGACGAGACTGATATCGAAACATGCAAGAGGATATTAGGAATTTTTTAAATAATTGAAACTGATAAAATATAAATATGCAATACAATTGAATGTGTTTTGTTTAACCATTTTTTTGTAAAGATAATGCTAAATATCAAAAATAAAATTCGAATTTCAGGACGAGGGTTTTCCATTTTGTTTATAATAATTTCTTGTTAATTTCTTGTCATTTTGTAATCTATATTTTACAATATAAATAAACTTACATTCAGTCAATTGTTTTTATTTTTATTTTATATATACGCTTACCTAAATTTCTAAATCATTCTTTGAAGATATTTAAAAAACATTAATTGACCGTAGATACATTACAAAAATACAGGATAATTTTCGTCGGTAGAACAATAATTATTCAAAAAAGAAGATGCAAAGTAGTAGAAAAAAGTAACGAATAACGTTTAGTATGTCTTCATTTTGTTAGTTCTTTTTAAGCAAAATGTTCGATTTATAAAATTCATGAACATTCTCATTTTTTTCTTACGACCTTAAAATCTAGAATTTCTTACAATCTTTATAAATATAGAAAAAAGATTTGAAGTAAATATTATTACATTTTTTTTTACAATGTAAATAAGTAGACCACTTTGTTTATTTTTTAATATAAATGATTATATTTATGTCAGAATAATATGTGATATTTAATGTTTATAATTTTTATGAGAATATCTATAAGAAATAACCGAAGTATCTTACTAACACCGAAATGATATTCGATAAAAATTGTATTTATAACTGTATCAACAAATCAACAATAGAATTTATCTTGCATTCCAAGATAATTGATAATAAAATTTAAGCCATGGCACATTAGGTTATTATAAATTAATATAAACTACTTATCACTAAAAATTAGATATAATAAATCAAAAATGTTTAGATTATATTACGAATGGAATTACGATAGTACGGTTAATAAATAATTATTTATATTATAATATAACATCGCTGAAAATCGCTAGAGGCAAAAATTTTATTTTATTGAAATTAATTTCTCAACAATATGAATAACTAGAAAATCTAATGCAATTTGATATGGAATAACTCACATATGTAAAGTAATACATGAAGAAAGAATTTACATTCATATACTGTGACAATTTGAATATTTGAAATTAAGAGAAACTTCATTATATTGTTTATAAATGTATACGATGTTATTTTATTATTTATTATGATACAATATTAAAGGTATTAATAAAGGTATTAATAGCTTTTAATAAATAAAGAAACCAACTGTTTATTATTTGTCTTAGGTATGTTACTTTTCACAATGATAATTAATAATTGATATTAACTTTACAATCATTTGTGTCCCTGCGTTTTATAATTCAAATTATAGTAACATCCAAACAAGCGTTTCACGCACACAATATGAATACTTCATTATAATATATTGTATACAAAATAAACACTAATTATTGGATTTAATAATTCTGGTAACAATACAAGGCCGTGAGATCATAACAAAAAATGCTTTAAACTTCTACTTTAGAGATGTACATACAAATGAATTTGTAACTTAATTATAGCAGAAGTGATCATAGTAGAAACTGAAAATTTCCTACTAGTTTCCTATAGTACGGAGCTTGATTGTGTTACTATCATTCTGTAAAGTTCTGTTGTAGTTTTAAATTATGTTTGGCATATCTTACCAACATTAACTAAAAATTTCTGTTAAATTAAGTTGATTTATTTTTCAGTCTTCACATTTTTTTTTTAAATGAATGCGTATAAACCAGGGAATATGTAACTTTTGATATTTTGTATATGCAGGAATGACACATAGATATTATAGTAAATGTACAAAGAGGAAAAGTGTTAAATTTAACACCAAAATCGGAGGACTAATAATGTCACCAGCTTAGGCTAAGAGTACAGCTAAATATTTGTCTTTAAATAATACAGTCATAGATACCAAATTTTGTACTAACTAATTGCCCACCAAATACACTTAATACCCACAAATTTACATTAAATTGCACATAGTGACAAACAAAAAACACACAAGCAAATGCCATGAAATACAGAGACATTTCTTCAAATTTTTAGATAATGTTCCACAATGTTCAAATATTGTACAAGTGGTACAAGTAGTACAAGTAGTACTGTGCAAGTAGTTTTATCAAAAAAGATACTTTTGTTTTAAAAATCTAATAATCTGTAACACAACTAGGACATGACAGTTAGAAATTGATTCTTTTACATAAAGATATCAATTATAACTTTAGTATCCATATGGAAGTGTTAATTTCTATATATATATAGTAATAGGATGTTGAAGTAATTAATTTACTCACTGACATCCCTTTGTGTTTGATGTGAATCACTATCAGAAGTTAAACTTTCAATAGCGCTATCGGGTTGTGAAATTGTCTCAGAACTCCTAGTTATATAGAGTTTATTAGATTTAACTTCTGTACGACTGGATTTAAAATTCTGATCTGTATTCGAATTTGAAGTGGAATGTAATGATACATTAAACTGAGCAGAAACAGGTCTTTGACATGAATGTAACATTAATTCTGGTCCTCCACCATATGTAGTTAAAAAAAATTGCCAAAGTTCTTCTGGTATTTGTCCATAATCTGAACCTATATATAATTTTGATATTAAAATAAAATATAAACATATATAAACTTATTATAAAGTAAAAAACAATTTAATTTGATACCTACCAACTTTAAGGATATTCTGACCATTTTTATTTATTATAATAGAATTATTATCAATTGGTCCGGGTGGTTGAGTCTCTTTACCCCTTACAAAACTTTGCCATTGACGTAACCAAGCCATGGCCAATCCATATATAGCAGTAGGATTGTCAGTGTTATGGTTTAATTGTTGAAATATTTCCATTTCATATTGTCTTCTTTTCTGCAACGATTCATACTTTTCTTCACAAATTGGACATTCATATAAATGTGTACATGCTGGACCTCCTCCAAATCTGAAACAATATTTCATTTAATACCTTAAATAAATAAAATATATATTATATAACACTTACGTATTATATAAATACTCCCAAACTGCTTGTGGAATGGGCATACTAAGTTTATCTACAAATTGTGCTCTAACAGGATTGACACCACCATGTGGACAGAGGAAATCAGAATTATCTATAGGTCCTGGTTCCGAAAATGTATTGAAACGATTTATCCATTGTCGAGATACAAAAAAGTTCAAATCAGATAATTCTCTAGATGAAATTTCCATCAATTCCATAGTTTTATCATGTAATTGCAACATTTCTGGTGACCACTTTTTATAAAATAACACATAAGCCTCACAATGCTTTACAGTTTCCGGTGAGACTTCTGTGACACACTGATCATCAAATTCAAACCATTTATTAACAATAGGATTTAATGCATAACAAGTATAATGACCACCACCAGCTGTTCCATGATGACATATAACTGATATTAAATCATACATGGTTACTTTAGATACACATTCTTTATGCAAATATGGTCGCATATCTAACCCTCCTAATGGAAATGAAACATAATTTGCTATTTTTGAACTAAACATTAATTCATGACGAAATCTTTTTAAATGGACACATAATATTTCAGGTAGCTCCAAAACTTTTGAAAATTTAATTCCATTACGTAGTTTGTTACACTTTTCACAACTGTACATATTATCTCCTTTAAGTTCATCTGCACTAAAAAATGCAGAAAGACAATCATGGAGACTAACAACTGGACCCCAAAACCAAGAGCGCATCCATTGCAAGAACCATGAAAGCCAACCAGATTGATTAGTTACATACACAACATCTGAACAAGGCCCTGCTTTTTGTGGAGTTAGCGGTCCTTGATGCAACATATCGATATGATCTCTACTTGGAATGGGTAATGACAAGTCTTGAAAAGTTTCTACTCTTGTCGAAATCCTGTCACAAGTAAGACATTGTACGCTACTTAGAAGTTTTCCATCGAATATATCACTGATGATACTTCGTGTTTTCATTTGCTTTTTAGTTCTGCATTTCACAGGTGAATTTTGCGTTGATCTCTGTGGCTGAGAAAATGGTTGATCTATGGTTGACTTTTTGATACTTCTATTTGTAAATTTACTTCTTAGTTTTTCTGACTGAGATACCCGGGAATATCTTCTCTTTGTACCACGTTCACCTTCATCACTAAGAGAACTTTGTTCACTTACTCCAGAATCACAAGTTTCATACTCAGCATCTGATTGGCTAGAACCATTTCCATCAATTTCAGTTTCATCTTCATCTGAAGATGGTTCTCCTAATCCCTTTAATCTTAACAAATTATCACGATCATCTTCAATATGTTCTTTTAATTCTTCATGTAACTGATCCATAAAACATCTCAAAAATTCTTGAGTATCATGTTGATGATATCCTCTAAACATTGGATGAACTGTTCGAATACCAAATAATATTCCATGTGGTACAACATATCCTCTTGTTTTCCTATTCCACATGTCTCGAATAAGGTTTAAATAGCTTAAGCTCAAACCAGGCTTTCTATCTTTGGACATATAGCTAACCATATGACCACAATCCAAAAAGAATTGAGTCAAAGGAGGTACATTTGATAAAGCTTGAAGGGCTGCATTCATGTAACATGTATTACCAATGTTTTGAAGACCGACAAGACCTCTTGGCTTTCCGGAAAAATCTTTACTTTCATCAGAGTCTGTACTATCTGGTGAATCGCCTGATTTTTCATTAAATAATCCATCTTTCTCATAGTTTACTCTATTTAAAAACTCACCATAAAACCTATTATTTATAAAACAAAATGCTTTTATTTGCTATCAACTTATGTGTCAAAAATTTGTGATATTTATACTTTTATAGATATGTAAATAAAAATATCAATAAGAAGAATACTTACTTATCCAATAGAAGCCGATTGAGGTCGTCTGTTTTACAATCTATATTAATAGGTGCATCACCAGCAAATTTATTACTTTGTGCTTTTATATCCACATGAATAGGTGAAACTGGTGGTGATGGTACATGTCTGGTTATAACTTCTTTTTTACAGGAGTAACACCATATACGATTTGTAGAAAGATTCATATGAGCACAATGATTAGGAAATTTTTGGTTGTGTACAGTACTATGATCCAAATGCGTTTCTGGACATCCGACCCAACGACAATCAGGAAATAAGCATAGCCATAAGTTGGGTCCATCCGTATCACATTCACTACATTTTTTAAATCTCTCCTTTTGAGATACAACAATCTCAATAAACGCGAGATCACCACGATTAGCGATATGAGGACAATTCCTCGAAATCAAAGGCATTTGGATTTTTATGTTTGTCCTGTCGATTATTATTGATCGTAGGACGCGAAATCGCGCGTACACTTTAGTTTTTCACATGCGTTTAAAATTTGGCTTACACGCGACTTGAATAATGTTATCATTTTCTAACCTGATTGGGACATGTCGTTCTTGGTAATCGAACATTATCCACGAAAACGATTGTCATTGGAGATAGTTGTGTCAAGAAAATTAACTATTATAATCGGATAGCCAATGTAAGAGAAAGAATATAGGTTGGTGTACATGTTACAGTCGATAATCGAATTGAACTATTTAGAGTAATCTTGTATATTATTATTATTTTAAAAATCATATTAAAATTAAGTTAAAAAGTTGGCATTCATTGTGAATTCTTACTTTTAATATATATTTTTATTAAAAGAGTTTATAATGTGTATATAGTGATATAAATCATGATATTTATCTAAAGATATCATCGTGATAGATGTCGCGTTGTTAGACAATATGTTGTCAGTGAACAAACCTCAAGTTGGTCACCGCTATGTATTACTCTTAATAACCTGACTGAAAATTAAGTGAAGGGTGCACACTGATTATTAACATATATTAATAAATTCAATAACATTCTAAGTGTATTTTGATAGTATAAGAAAACGGTTCGTTAATTTTTCTGCAAATATATTCATATTGGTAATTATAAAATATACATTATCACATAATTTATAAATTTCTTGAAATTAACCTATACAATAACCTTTTGTTTTCTATGTACCAGATATATAGAAAACAGATATAAATTAATATTTTTGCATTTAAAAAAAATATTACTTTCATTTTTATTGATTAAAACAAATTATAATATTTAATGTTAATATTTTAAATGGAACAAAATCGGTTTAATTAAAGTTCTTATCTTACAGCGGTAAAAATGGTGTTGTCGTGTCGATTTTATAAAGAGAAATATCCAGAAGTGGAAGATGTAGTAATGGTAAATGTACGTAGCATAGCTGAAATGGGAGCTTATGTACATTTATTGGAATATAATAATATTGAGGGTATGATTCTTCTTTCTGAATTATCTAGAAGACGTATTAGATCTATTAATAAACTTATTAGAGTAGGAAAAACTGAACCAGTTGTTGTTATCAGAGTTGACAAAGAAAAAGGTAAAATATATAGTTTTATGCATAAAATATTTTTAAACCTATTTATATATATCATTTTACATAATAATTTATTGAATGGATTAATTTAGGTTACATTGATCTTAGTAAGCGTCGTG